GCAATGCCTGCCGAGAAGAGAAACTACTTCCTCGATGCCGATGAGAGCGACGACGACGGCAGTCAAGGCTACGATTCTGAAGTCGATCAGCTGCGGAAAGGCAGTTCTAAACGCCCCAAGCTTGAACATCCCACCGACTCTGGCGAAGAGGACGAATTCATTGGCGACAAATCAATCGAGGAAGAACTAAAGAATGCGCCCACGCCAAATCAGATCGAAGAAGAGGAAGGCGAGGACGAAGACACTGCCGAAACGACACTGCAAGACATCTCCCGGCCATTGACCAAGAAGAACCTCGTTGCAACAGAAAAGGCCGTGAAAAGAAGCGGCGTCGTCTACGTCTCACGCATACCGCCCTTCAGTAAGACGCCAGCTACCCAGCAGCAGTAACACGCCTGAACCCACCACCATCGCTAACACAGCCTCCAGTGAAGCCAAGCGCCGTCCGAACGATATTCGAGCGCTTCGGCAAAATCAACAGAGTCTACCTCGCAGTCGAAGACCCAGCAGTCCGCGCGCGACGCATAAAACAAGGACAGAACCGGAAAAAGAACTTCAGCGAAGGGTGGCTGGAATTCCTCAGAAAAGCCGACGCAAAAGCCGCCGTTGACGCACTCAACGGCACAACCCTAGCCGCCATCGGCGTCGCGAAAAAGGGGAGCTACTATCGCGACGATATCTGGTCTCTGCGCTACCTCAAGGGTTTCAAATGGCACAACCTCACCGAACAGATCTCCGCCGAGAACGCCGAACGCCAGACTCGCATGCGCGCCGAGATTAGTAAAGCTACGAGGGAGAACAAGGAGTTCGTAAGGAACATACAGAAGGCCAAGGAGCTGGACGGTATTCACACCAAAGCTGCCGCGAAAAGGGCCAGGACAGAGGATGGCGCTGCAGAACCTCGGGAAGAGAAAAGTTTGAGGCAGTTCACGCAATCCGCTGTTGGCAAGAAAGATTCTAGTCAAGCCCCCGAGGCCGCGAAGCGGGTGCTTAGTCAGCTGTTTTAGTGTTTTGGATATTAATGATACCCACCTTCGAGACAGTTTACGACATAATGCTGGTGTTGCATTCCAAGTGTGGTAAGAGGACTGGCACTGACTTTTCACGGCTGTCGAAGCCCCAGCACGCCGCGGCGGTTTTTCAAATGAGTGGGTGGCAACAAAGTACGCCAGGATGATGCGATTTCGTATCTCAGTAAACTATTCCTTATCATCCATATTGAGCTCATCGAAATCATCCAGCAACTCTTCCATGTTGACTTGCGGCGCATCGTCGTCTCTGTCATCGTCCGTTGCCATCGACATCTCATCCGGCTGTGTCTTCCTCTTGGGGTCCTTGTACAATGCAACACCCGATCTGAACTCTTCATCCTCTTCAATCTCCTGCAAGAACTGCTCGAACTCGCGATCCATGCGCTCTTGGTCAGCCTTCTTCGGCAGCAACTCGCCTTCATCCTTGGCCATACGCTTGACCTTCCACTGTCTCTTGCGGTTCTTCTTGCGGTTGGCGTAGTGTTTCTTCACGAGTACAACATCGGGTATCCGTGAGGAGTATGTGTTGGATTGCTCGATTGCTTCGAATTGAGGATTGTTGAATATCGTGCCAGACAGCATGTACCCCATCACGGAGTCGCCTGCATGTAAAAGGCCACCCATGTGCGTGCGTGCGAAGTATGTCTTGTCGTTTACGCCGAGATCGGTAGCTCGAGCTACTTGGACCTCTGCTAATGAGTATTTTCCCTTGGTGGGACCCATGGGTTCCGAGTCCATTACGATGAACTCAACCAAGTCCCGTGCTTCTAATAGCGAAGTGAATGGTGCTCTCCAGTACACTGGCGCACTGACGTCTGCTGTCTGAAGTGTATTAGGATCTAGCAAGTAGACTGAAGTGCCTATGCGGTTGCACAGCACGATTGGTGATATGTTGCCGCACTGCTTAGCGAGAGGTATCGGGAGGGCTACAAGGTCGTCCTTGCAGATGGGGATCAACTCGACGGAGAATGTAAATTTGAACGACTTTTTGCCGCTGTGCGAGTCTTGCGAAATTAGTTCCGACGACTTCTTGACGCGCACGGGGACAACTGAGTTCAAGAAATCGACAAATTTCTCCGCCTGATTTCTGGCAGAGTAAAAGAAGTCGATTCCGTCCTTGGCTTCCTTGATGTTGATTGTGTCTCTGTGGGCTTGGTGTTTTAAAATCGACTGCTCGAGGTACAAAAATGTGCGTTTCTACAGGGCGAACAGTAGTTAATACCTAGCCAGTGTTCACAAGTTGGGTTGAGAGTAGAGAGGTACTCACGTGTAAGACCTTCTGGCGCACTTGCACACTCGCCCTCCAGACGTTGGCAGTGTAACTCTTGGCACACTCAGGGCACTGCTGGTAGGCAACAACGTAGGTGACCTCGAGGCCCTGCTGCATGACACGATCATCGGCGACGGCTTGCTGGATTACAAGCTTCACTTTGACTCTCCGCGAGTGAGGCTCGGTCCATATGAAACTGGCGTCGATGATTCTGGTCTTATTCAAGCTGAGTTTCTTCAGGCAGAGAGCAAGAAGCTCGCGAGATTCGGGCTGGGCGGTTACCCAGGTGGTGGGAGGCATGAGCCAGCGATCGCAGTCTCGGCAGAAATGGAGGGTGGCTTCACGCTGGATACCCTGGGAGATGTCTTTGGTGAGTTTGAAGCAGTCGTAGCACTTGGCATCAATAGCGGTCATTCCATCGATAGGAGCGCCACAGTCGGCACACAGGATGCTATAACCAAGGATCAGCACAGCGAAACACGAGACGGCGCATCGCGGGGCAGGCTTACGTCGCAGTGACGCCCGAAGACTCGACCGGAGCCGCGATGGGCATCGGGGTGTCTATGTCCATCGACATGGTGGGGCTTTGTCTTTGCCGTCGATATCAGAGCCAGAAGACAATATGAGGTATAGTTTGGGTTGTCGTACGGGAGAGGATGGGGGAAGAAAGGTGATGTGTTGAGCCGGGCAGCGGGCGTGGCGGATTGAGGAAAAGACAATGAAGGTAGGTGATGGTGGGGGTTTGGATCGCAGTAAATTTCTTGGAGGGGCAAATCAGGGTACTTCTGCTGCCATTCGCATCACACCTAGCACCAAGTACCGTGCTTTCCGATGAGTTGGATTGATAAGCCCCGCCTGCTGTCATCATTCAACCTGTTACTTACCCCACAGCTGGCGGGCGTTAGAACTTAGGAGGTATGCACTCAGCGCCTAGGGACGGAGTATTCGTGCGGAGCAGGACTATGACGAACTTGAAGTTTACCTCCATCTACCTATCAATTGACCAGTATTTCGAACCATCAAACTCCCACCTACATGTACAGCGCCCGATCTATCCAATTTCCAAATCGTGGCCAAGGTAGTTCAAATGTGGAAATACATATACTAAGGTACAGTAAACTACACATCTTATCATCTCATGCCAACAAATAACCAGGCGATCAATTAGAGGGAAAGTGACCTCCATTCTCGTTGACTAACTACATATGTACCTAGGTATGTATTGTGTTGTGTAGTGAAGTGTTTGAAGCCATGTTGTGCGAATGCAGCTTACTCTGTCTATACTCCCTGCGTAGGCCGTTCCTGAGACGGCCACCGATTCTGCTCGCGAGCTCGCTTCTGAGACCGCAGAACTGTATGGTACACGAATTTATGAACGATGTAGTACAAAACAAGTAGATTGAAACCCAAAGATACGGAGAACAGGGTCACCCATGTGTAAATCCCCGAACCGAGAGCACTGCAACTTTCGTTAGTTGTATCGGTATTCCCTGTGCTGTTTGCCATTATTAAGACTACAGGCTGGGTTAAGTTGAACAAAGCAGGTGACATCTAGGAAGGGTCTGGGGTTCTATAGCTCCCGAAAAGGTACTCAATTTAGAAATTCGAGTTCAGTGTATAAGTCGTTGTACAGGAGAGTGTGATAGCCTAGTATTGTCTGAAGATGAATAGTCCTGCGATACGAAGCTGCGGTAAACCAATCAGTTCTATATAGTCGTCCTTAAGGGGAAGGCAACATGGTCTACAATGATATTTTGGGCCAACAACAACATTGTTGAGATGGGCTATTGTGTAGGCATACGAACAAAGAGTACAGCTTCATTGCCGTTAGATGCCCAAGGTCTGAAAGCAAAAATGCGTCAGGCAAATCTCATCACAAGACAAAGGGACTGTGTTTATTGCAACAGCGCGAAATGTGATATTCTGAGCATTACGTCTATTGCATGGGCCAAAGGCGTTTGATTTGCAAGTTTCAATAGTGTGAAGTCCCTCGCTTCCTAACTTAGAGAGCAGCTGAAGTGGTTATGGGTGCGTCACGAACTATCATTGAGACTACCTAGTAAGCCTACGATAGCATGGTCTATCTACCTACTGACCAGTAGTTCCAAATAGGACTACTGTCATCCATTCCTCAGATGCTCTGTTTATATGTCATTATACCGTGACTTAGTCGATAGGCATTACCTGGCTACGATCACAAGCTATGCGGGACTTAGATCTCATCCTAGGCGGTCATTAGCCAGAAACATCTGGTTTCAGGTTTTGCCCGAATAGGTGTCTCGTGCTACCACTGATGGCACCCGAGTTGACTGATCGTCGCTATAATCAATCGGCCGTGCTGACAATACAATGGGGGAAACTACTTCCAATCCGTTGCCTGGATCCAAGGCGGCAAACGACACAATCCAGCATGTGACACTATCGAAATCAGCAGGAAAAGCGACAGGATAAGCGATCAGATTAATGTGCCATCCATCAGATTGCCCATACCGCTTATTTTACTGCCAGCATAGCCACCAACAAGGGGCATTCTTGCGGAACTAGTCAACTAGGTTAATATCAAGCGTAAACAGTTCAAAAGTTGATGAATTGGAATGCAGAAAGAACAGTTACAAAAGAGCGGTATTTTGGTTGACGCCTCATTCCTTTGCTAACACGACGAGGAAGATGCTTGGGCTAGAAGAAAGCCAAAAGATTGGTGCGGTGAGTGTGGATCGAACACACGACCTTCAGATTAATGACGGAAGTTGTACTTCAGTCTGACGCTCTCCCAACTGAGCTATCCCCGCAATTCATGACAGGAATCATCCAATACAGACTATAAAGGTCACTCAATAAGAGGAAGATGATTGGCTGTCGCCCTGGATGGGGCAGTAAGGCTTAGGCAGGTCTTCTGATTTGATGCAGCCTATGGCACACTGCACTGATCGCCCACTAAGCCGATCCGGGTTAGTCTAGGCGCACTTGGACTTGCGTGAAACTACGGATGATAGAGCTGTGTTACAGCGGTATCCCGGTAACATCCCCACCACTGTCCTGCTCAAACTCATCGCATCCCCAGCAGATCGCGCATGCCCCCCTCGCATTCCCTTCGATAAAGTCTTGAACTGCCATCGTAGCGCTCGCCATTCTATTGCAATGCGTCCAAAATCCCGTTTTGGAATTCGGCATCGCTGTGTGATACCTTCAATCGCGGGCAGTTTTGACATGTACCTTGAAATAATACTATAGTAAGTCACCGTCAAGCGAGGATGTCACACAAGCGCCTGTTCGTGGCATTGGGACAGCGCCTTCAGAGATGGGCTGCGTCTATGGGCCAAGCTCGGGTTGAGCACGCCACGCAGGCCGTGGTTTCGGGCCGTCAAATAGGAATTGAGTTATCTCGTCAAACAGCCGCCGTCCTCTGGAAATCGCGGCCGCAGCAGTTGATATCATTCCTCTCAAGGCCATCACAATTCAAAGGCCTCACCCGCGAAGCAGAAGAAAGGAAAGAGCGGGTCCTAGCAGAGGGACTGGAACAGTTTTACGCAATTGAGCCTCGTTTATCAGGCGAACCGACAGGCGCCTGGCTACACCCTACACCGTCAAGGCCTGTCACGCCGAGGCGGCCATAATCCTCCATTGCCAGACAAAAGAGGGAGACATAGGCGCTTTCTGGAACCATAATCACCAGACGGTCCAACTTCTCGACAGGAAAGTCTTTGCGCGACGAGTTTACCTTTGGCTATGATTGGCATTGGCGCGGCGACGACAAATTTCGTGGCCGTAGTGGCTGTTCAGCTACCAAACGGAGCCTCATCCTAAGCAACTCCATGATGACCTCTCTTCAAATCTTTCAGACATCCTGAATCCCAACTTATTTTTGTTGGCGGCTCTTGTGCTGAGGGGTCATTATCGTAAGATTTTACCAACTGAAAGGCATTCATTACCCATTCACGTTGTGAAGGACGAGATCTTTGAAATTAATCTATGGTTCACAGGGCAATCGCTACAACGCATCGCCGTGTATGTTGACCATCCGTCTACTCTCTTTATGCATCAAGCAGTGCTGGCCTCTCTTTGGGGCGGTTTGATTCTGCTAGCAACTTATCATCATGGCTGTTGGGGAGAGCGTACAAACCCGTTTTCTTATACGGGTTATTTCTTATGAGCTCGTAATCATTTTGGCGAAACAACGCATCGGCTCCAGTCGCGCAACTCTGGCGACATGTGGATTTAGAAAAGCACACTGAGGGTCCTTTAATAATGGAAGAATACAGTTCGTCATTTCTATCCTGGGCAGCGGCCTATCTAGGGACAGATCTCGAAGCCCTAATACAAAGCAAGAAATCATCGTTCAATCTTATGCTTTGAAGCCATAAAAGAACGCTCTAGAAGGTCGACGAAAAGCTTACAATTTTCGGCTAGCGAATTCTGTTGACTTGCCAGAGAACACTCATGAGACCCAATACAACAATGCTCCTCTCAGAACGCGACGACCTGATCTAATGGTAGCCGAGCAGATCATAGGAAATGAGAACAATGCGTCTTCCTCCCATGCTGCCATTTCAACCATAATGTAGCCACAAACAAGTATAAATTCAAGAGTCGAATGAAGCAGGAAGTGAATACATGGGCAAAGCGACGCTTTTCTACTTTCGAGGAACACTGGACGCGGAATAATCGTGCACTCAACATCAATAGATATATAATCACTGTCCGAGAGCGTTTAAGATGGTAAAGAGTGGTGAGGCAGTTTACCTGAAGCCGTACAGCAGCTTGAAGGCGGGAAAGGATGGCGAGGAATTCCGGCTGCAGTTCCAGAAAAGAGATCGAACAATGAGACATGTCCCATAGCCATTAAGGTAGTCAAGAAGTCTCCCATTAGCGGTGACAATCCCCGTTCATGTTGTCTTCCCGACTCACTCGCCCACTCTTACTTGAATTCTCCGTATGTATGTAGTACAAAGCACATATACTGCCCGCGGGAGGACCTAATTCCGACTACCTACCAACCAGTCTGGGTGGGGTTGCGATTGGCTAAGCTCCGGTGTCATTTCTCTATTTTTTCCAGTACATCCATATCTGTGTATCTAAGCCCAAACAACATTCCACAATCATAACAACATCCAAGTGGCGGGGATAGCTCAGTTGGGAGAGCGTCAGACTGAAGTACAACTTCAATCATCAATCTGAAGGTCGTGTGTTCGATCCACACTCACCGCACGTGTTTATCAGTAGTTGTCGTGGGTTTCTGTGGATCCCCCATCCTTCCCTTTTTGGTTTTTGCAGCGCGGAGAGTTGGAAGGATTTGATGGCGTCTTGTCCCAGTGAGAGAGTTTGGGCTCTCAGAATACCTACATGCAGCTAGGAAGACTGCATCTGTTAAATAGCGCGAGCTCGTTCTGAGTCACCTTCAGCATGGCGTAAATGCAAACTGTATAATAACTATTGTAGCATACTAATTAACTGTCCGATTTGGATAAACCACTATCGCGTACGAGTACCGCACGTGGGAAGTCGCCGCTCGTCACGACAAGAACGAAAAGTCAAACCTCATTCGCATGGCAGCTCCCGTGTGAAACCTCAAAAACAACTTAACTACTGTTGAGGGAACCAACATTTGATCTCTATGATATAGCAAGTCGACACTGTCACCGTTTCGTGTGCATCCATCCATGTGGCGATGGTATTGGAGGATGTGTCGGATCACTCTCAATAACATACTGCTGAAATACTACGGTTTGGTCACTTCCTTTGGTGGCTCCGAAGAAGAGCGTCGTGCATATCGTGACCTTGCTCAACGCGCAAGCCGAAAAGTTTACGAGGAATATTCGGAGGTTGCCAAGACCAAAAAAAAACAGGACGTCGCGAACTCAACGCGTACATTACCAGAAAATCTTAAGATACCATGACTGAAGAATGAAGACGATATCCCCCAGACCGGTCATGGTCGGTTTGGGAGAGAATCACGAATAACCCCGTGGCGGAGGTCATTATGTCGCTGGTCAAATGCATGCGACAGCGATGACTGGTGCATCCGAGAACGTAGCTCTATACCTTAACAGTAGTCACAGCCGATGCTGAGCTTGCATATGTGCAGACTATATGTACTACGAGCGTTAGTTTTTAGCGTGGGTACTCCAGAGTGTGCCGAATTGCATTGCTTTTCCCGAGACGCACATGAACAAGTCCAATCCAAATAGTACTCTTTTCCAAGGCTGTCATGTCAATGATCAGTATCCCATTCAGCACGTCAGATCCGTCGCGACCAAATCGGTACACCATGATACCTGTGCGTGACTTGATCAAATATTTGAGGCTATGAAGTAGTGACATTGACATTCAGACACTGCGTCCAGCTCTCGTTTGCTGAGCAGCCTCTGACAGTCGGCAAGGTCAAGAGGTAGATAAAGCAATTCGAGTATTAGTAGCTGGCATACATCAACAACATCAAAAGAATGCACTCCGAAATATCCCTTCGCCGCCAGTAGCATGCATACCCCAAGCTTGAATAATTGCAGCGGATCAAAGTCCGTCTGTAAGGAATTAACACCGGGCGTCTGACAAGTTGGTAGGATTAACTCAGCAAAATGCGAGATATTCGACTCCTGATCGAGAGGTGGAGAAACGGTCAAAAAATCGTCTACCACGGTGGTATTCTGGCGAATGGTGTACAATTTATATTAAAGATGTAGACGACATTGGATTGCTTGCGTTTATTCTCTGAGATGGTTTTAGGATGATATTCGGAGTTGTTTACCTCGACGACTCTCACAATCTTTCGAATCAGCTTTTTCATCGAGGTAGATCGGATACATCACGACATATTTGAGACAAAACGTCAAAAATCATTCGATGAATCTTCCTCAAGGCAGTTAAAGAGAGCGAAGAATTATGCATGTTCATCATTATGCTGCGAAGCTGTGCTATCGATCCCAGCAAAATACATTGGATCGGCTAGCTTGTTCACTGCTTCGGAAATCATATGTTATTAGATCTGTTTAGCCATCATTCTGTTGTCGAACTCGGTAATCATAGTTGCGCTACCAACATTATGATCTCGAGAGTGCATGAGCTTCTCAACACCTTTACTTATCTAGAATACATCCATCCTGGTGGCTGCCAGCATATCTTCAAGGACAGTTGCAGATTCTATGTCTGACTAACTTGTGGTAGTCCCTGTAAGCCTTGATCGTACGGACACCAGCTGGGAGACTTCCATGGCTTGAGGGTTTGCATATGTCTAGATGCAGGACCTAGTCGTCTATGAAGTTTCCGTCCGAATTATTTCCGTATATCTATGTTAATCAATAGCCTGCATTCTGGATACACTTCCCCTCTAGCGGGGTAGCCGTGAAGGTGGCGAGGGCCACGAGACGACGTGCGTGTGCGCTTGGAGAACGTCATTCGAAGTTGCAATGGCTGGCCAAATCGCGTAATCCAACTCCACGATAGCAACATCCACACGCATGCCATCATCATCACCCCCAGCGGGGTCGCCAATGGTCGAGGGAGCTGAGAGGCGAATATCGGAGTGATAGTGACCTATGGTTGATAAGAATGTGAGGGAGGGCTCGGTATACTCAAAACCAATACTTGTCCTTATGTGCCAATTGGACGGTTCGTGTTTTGCGTAATTTTGAGTTGTTCGCACACCACGATCTCGACATCAGCAATGTATTCAATCAATTAATACATAAGGTCCATTTGCCTCCATCGCTGTAGCTTTTCGTTGACTTGTTTAGTCCAAATGTAACACAGCTTGATTATTTACCAAAAACCTATCATCACGATGGCTCCATCAGCT